CGAGGCATGAAATTTGATATTTTTACCAGTAGCAAGCTTCTGCTGTTTCTTCACTTTGAAGCAGCAAAGGTATCAATGTGAGATCTTCTTACTTGTTGACCAGCATGAGATTTGGATGAACAGAAGTTTTCATGAATTCCAGATGGGGGATTTAATTTATTTTATAAAACATAAATGAAGTTACTCTTTTAGAATTTATTTGTCCGAACACTGCCTTGCCACTGACACACAGGTAAAACAAGGACTAATTTAAAAAAAAAATTAGTTTTGGAATAGAAGCATTGCTGTGAGTACAAACTATACCATACCTTATTATCACAATATTATCATTGTATGTGGTTGTTGCTGAATACTGTCATGGTGGAATTGACCCATAGCTGATCCTCTAGGGAGTTTTCCAGAGGCAGTTAATTGAGAAGAGATTGCTCATCCCATTCCCACTGCAGACGTTAATATACTGCAGAAGTTAAGCCCTTAATTTAAGTAAACCATGCTTCTCTGTAGGAACATAGTACATGCATTTTAAGAAAAAGAAATAAAATTTAAAGCACATAGGAAAAGAAACAATTCAGATTATGACATGAGCAATGAGATTCAATACGTAAGTCAGAGCCAGTTCTGACACTGGCTGTTATTAAAGTGCCTAACAAGCGAGGCTGCTATGGATTCACAGGTGCTAGCAGAAAATGAAAAGCCTCTGGGCATAAACAAAGGGTGGTTCATTACTCATAGCACTAGCGGTAGCCAGAGTAACGTTTTTGTTTGTATGATTCCTTATTCCTCAATTCCCACAGGGCAATGTGAGGAGAATAAGGTGTTACCAGCACTGACTATGTGGTGTACTATAAGAGAAGAATTCTGAGGTAAGGGCTCCTCTGATCTTACACAGGACCTGCCGACAGCCAGTCCACTCTCCACTCCAAATAGGGACAGTGTCGTAATTATCCTATAATAGAAGTGACTTGGATGGGGGTGATTTATCTATTTTTACTATCCTTTAGAGTAAATAAATCTGAGCAAATTGCCTGCTAATGCTTAAATACGAAGAAACATGCCAAAAGTTTTGAAGATTTGCTTCCAAATAGTTTGTGGAATATTGTTAGGAAATAATAAAAACAACAGTACAAGAGCAATAATAACCATAATAACGATAATGACAATATAGAAATTGGACTTGATTCTAACCATTTGAAAGAGGATACACAAACTTGGGTTACTGCTCAAAGGTCCTGTTAGTATGTCACAGTTGAAAAGCTGAGCTTTATTTATGATACAATTCTATCTACAAGCAGGATTGACTAACGAGAGTAAAAAGTAGGTTAGTTAATTAGAGAAGAGACAGCCATGAGGCCAGTGCAGGGATATGGGGTCAGCTGAAAGATTCCAGCACGTTGCTCTTGATACAGATCAAGAAATAATTGTCCCCTGATGAGTATTCTATATGAAGACAAGCACTATAACTGTCTCTAGAATATTATGTTCCAAATAGCTTTTTCACAAATGTATAATCATAAACATGGAAAGGTGAGTGCCTTGGGAGTTTTGCAGATGGTCAGGAGCTGCATTGAGAGGACAGCGTCCAGCTGGAGAAGGGCTCCTTGTCCCTCCCTTTCTACCACTTGGCTCAGTTCCCTGTCTTCTCAGTTTCCACTTGCATTTACACACTGTCACTTCTAGAACTGTTGTTTAATGACTAAGATCTGTGCAAACACGGGAGCTTACGTTAAAAAAACACAAACTTCTCTATCCTACAACTGATAGCAAAAGTATAAGAAGTGATACATTGTTTCTTCTTCTGATGAGTTAACAAAGCCGACAATTTTATAACGACCATCACTTAGAATTGCTTTCTTGAAGGAGACAGACTTGCAGATCCTTTCTATAACCGTTAACATTTGCACCTAATACTCAAGTGAGGAAATTAAGATTTTATTGAAATCTGTGACCAGCTTGTTCAGTTGTTAAGTTTTACCATATTATCTGCAGTCAGCATGCATTTTCCTTTCATCCGCCTTGGCTTACTCTACTCAGGAAAACTCCAGGCTTCCTCACATTCATAAACAAATTCCACTCCCTCAATCAACATCTGAAACTTCTCCTGTAAATCAGAACGTGCTGTGATTGAATTGCTGCTCCTATCATCTCCCATTTACTTCTATCAAAGCATATAACTAGATTAGTGGGAAAACAGCTATATTATGCTGGCATTTAAGCTTTCCCTAACAGCAGGCTTCCTTTTTGTGACAAAGAACAGCTCTGGAGATAGGAGAAACACCAGGAAATGAGGAAGCATTCCTTCTCACATCTTATATATGATTTAAACAGGAAATTGCTACTTTTTTTTTTCACAAGAAGACATTTAAAAATATAACCTTAAAAATGAGAGGCTGCTTGCTTTTCTACCTGGTAGCTCTAGGTGACTTAACAAAGTGTTGAAGTAGACTGCACCATTACTCTCAGTATGACTCATGTGATTTTAGAACTAAGGATGAAGAGAAACACAAGACAATGGAAATCAATTAGAGACACTCCTATGTTTGCTCAGTGCCTTATCCCTGTGTTTCTGCAATTATAAGAGTAAGGGTACACTTGTAACTGTCTTAGATTGAAGTTTCAAAGAGATGAAACAGTCACACCTAACTCGCCCATAAAATATGTATTTTCAAGGATTTTAAAAAATATTTTCAAACTATTACATCTGTATTTAACGAAAACTATCAGCATATTAAGAACAATTTGTTGTGTGGTTGTGTAACACAGAGTCAGAACTGACCCACGCTCACCCTCCAAAGGATTTTCAAAGGTAGTTATCGCCTGTCCTTCTCCCTTGGAGCAGCTAGTGGCCTTGAACAGTGTGTCTTTGGGATTTTGTAGCTCAACTCACTCCTCCTCTCCTCTCCTCGCCTCGCCTCGCCTCTCCTCTCCTCCACTTCTCTCTCTCTCTCCAGGTTACAGTGCCAGAGATGCCTTAATTATCATTACATAGATCAATATCACATAACTTATTCCACAAATCAAGTAGAAATACTGAATTGTTGTGGTTTTAAATATTATATAAAAAAAAAATCAAGGATCTCTCCTAGCAACATGCCCGAAGTAGGTGAGGTGAAGCTTTGTCATCTTCGCCTCCATGGACCACTCTGATTATACCCTCTCCAAGACGTATCTGTTTGTTCTTTTGGCAGTCCATGGGATATTCAATACTCTTCTCCAACAATACAGCTCACAGGTATCAATTCTTCTTCTGTCATCCTTATTCATTGTCCAGCTCCTGGCAGCACAGCATGTGATTAAAAAGACCATGGCCTGAATCAAGTGCACCTTAGTCCCCAAATTAACATTACTGTCCCTCCATAGTTTGGAGACATCCCTGACTACAGACTTTACCAGTGCAGTACATCTCTTGGTATCTTAGCTGTTGAAACCAAGCATATCGATTATAGATCCAAGGAAGATAAAGTAATTGACAGACTCAGTCTTTTCTCCATCTATCATGATGTTTCCTATCAGTCCAGTGGTGAGAATTTATTTTCTTGACATTGAGATACAATCCACACTGAAGGCTGCAGTCTTTAATCTTCTACAGCAAGTGCTTCAAATTCTCTTCACTTTCAGCAAGCAAGGTTGAATCATAACATTATGAAGGTTATTGATGAGTCTTCTTCCTAACCTGATGCTACATTCTTCTTCACAGAGTCCAGCTTCTTAAATAAATTATGGCAATTGTGATACAACAATAAAAACATGCACAGGAACCACTTGGGCTCTGTGTGCTGCATCACCAGACGTTACCACCCTGATAGAAAACTATGACAGTTCCTTAAATGTGTAACCAAGTCTTTAACTTCGGATGACATCCTTGTTTTAGAATACTATCTTATAAAATACAATATTTTCTTTATCCAGTGGTTTTCTAGAGCCAAAAATATCCTCAGTTTTATCTACAGAACTCCATCACCTTTTCACCATAAAACTGTGACAAAAATATTTCTCTCAATTTCATTTTTCCTTGATTTACTTGTTCTAGGGCTCAAGGCTATCTAGATACAAGTATGTAAATACAAGATGGTTTAGGGAAATAAAAATTTAAAAACAGCATATTTAAATGTTTCCTGATCCATGTGTTAATAATAAAAAAATACTTATAATATACTACAGATATGTAAAACTGTCACATAATCACACTATCAGATTCCAAGTTATTAGAGGGTGAATCTGATACAGGCCTTAGTCTTTCTGATCACTTGCTATACATTTGAGAATTGGACAATGACTAAAAATGATGGAAGACGGATTGACACCCTTGAGCTGTGGTGTTGGTGAAGAGCACTGAACATCCCAGGGAAAGACAAAAGAACAAAGAGATATGTCTTGGAGAGGGTGCAGCCTGAGCGCTCTTTGGCGGCAAGAATGATGAGGGTTCACTTCAGATCCTTTGAGCATGCTGCTAGGAGGGCTACTCCTTGGAGAAAGACATGATGCTGGGAAGGGTGGGGGGTCAGTGAAGGAGAGGAAGACCTTTAACCAGGTGGATTGACATGGTGACTGATGCATTGGGACCCTGTGGGTCAGGAAGTATGAGGATGGGACAGGATAGTACAGGGTTCAGACCTTTTGTCCCTAGGTTGGCTATGAGTCGTACTCAACTCGACAGAACCTAACAACAACAAAAACTAAAACAACAGGAGTTATAAAGTTTTCAATGGGTAAAAGTTCTCATGTTACCTATTGAAAATAACAATTGGAAGAGATTGTGGAATTCTATTACTTTATGTCTATTAATTTCGTTACTTCACTCAGTGTTAATGTCTTAGAAATGAAAAAGAACTTTGGTAAGGAAATACAGAGTTAGTAAGTAAGACAGAACTCATCAACTCAGTCATCAGTAGATCAGAGATATTTCAGCTTACTTATGATGAAACCTTATAAAATATTTAAATAAGCAAGAAATAGAGAAATATAGTATTTAATCCAAGGAAATGAAATAGTTTTCTACTCACTGAAGCCACATTCACAAAATCATCATCTGATAGTGTTTCCAGCATTTCAGAGACAGAGGTTCGAATCAATTTAAGAGTCAGTCCACTAACACTTCCACTCCTATAAAGGAACAAATAGACCCAGGCATGTTACTCATCATTTAAACAATGTTATGAGACATTATAATGTTGAAATTAGTAGTAGAAAATATTTTTTATAAAAGATTAGTAGTCCGTATGCTTATCTATAATTTGTCTATCTATCATCCATCTTCCATCTATCTATCTCTCCATCTCATCTCTCTCTCTTCGTCTGTTTATCTATCTATATATCTATCTATCTATCTAATCTATCATCTATCTATCGTGGCTTAGTGGTAAGGAGTTGTACTGCCAATCCAAATAAAGGAACATAGTTTGGATCTACTAGATGGTCTACAGGAGAAATATAGGTAATCTCTTCCTGTGTGATTTGCTGCCTTTAAAATAGAGAGTCAGTTATGAGTTGGATTTGACTTGCCAGTACAAAACAACATCATATATATATCTATATATATATGTTTAAAACTGCATGCAAATTATCATTCAAGAAAAGCACATCCAGTCATCCAGAAAAGAAATGCTGAATATCAGCTCTAATAATTGAGCTAGGAGTGAGGTGAGAGCTATACAGATTAACGCATAAAATCACTTCCTCAGAGGGCACTTTATTTGACTGGATTAAACCACTATTTATAAAGTAGCACAACAACTATGATAACAGCTATGAACAAAATGCATTACTCTGTGACCTAAAGTAATCTCTTGGGTTCAGCCTTCATCTCTCTTGCCTCTCTACATATTTTGTAATCCTAGATAACCTATCCCTTTGAAGTTCTACAGATAACTTCCATATCTCCAACACTTTACACTTGCTGAGATTTAGACTTCTAGCTGTCCGAGAAACAATTATAGGTCAATATCCAAAATAACTATTTCATTATTTGAAAAACATTTGTATTTCAGTTTTCTCTTCTCAGTAATACCAAAACCTTAACCATTGTCTAGTTGATTCACAATCATAAAGACCCTTTAGGCTGCATTGAGTTTCTGCCCCATTGAGTTTCAGACTATCAATCTTATGCAAGCAGACTGACTTTCTTTTATGCACGGTTTGCTGGATTCAAACTACCAACCTTTTGGTTTGCAGTCTAATATTTAATCCACTGTCCTATACTTAGTAACTATATGATTTTTCTCCTCCCTTTCAATCTTCCTACCCATTCAGAAAATCTCTTATTCACTTCTCTTTCCAGTGTTCCCAGAACAATGCTCCTTGGACTTCTTCTGTTTCAAGGTCTCATTATCTGAAAATGTTAAGCTAAGGTAATAATTTTTGTTGCTGTTGTTCTTAGGTGCCATCAAATCAATTACTACTCAGAGCGACCCTATGAATAACATATATGTCATTCTAAGGTACATCAAGTCAATTACAGCTCATAGCGACCCTATGAATAACAGATTTAAATCTTGACCTATTGTGTGCCATTCTCATCATCTCTGACACAATTGACCCCATTCCCGCAGTCACTGTCCCCTCCATCTTGTTGGGGGGATCATCCTGTTTTCACTGACATTCTCTCTTTCCAAGCATGATCTCCTTTCCCTAGGAATATATCTCCTGGCAACATGCCCAAAGTGTAAGTGACAAAGCTTCCCAATCTTTGCCTCCAAGACAAAGCATATGTCTGTTTTGGCAGTTCATCAATATTCAGTACTCGTCTCCACCACCACCATGCCTTTTCTGTGTCTCTCTCCTCATCACTGATATACCTGAGCTCATTAATATCGTCACTGTTACTCGTCTTTCTTTTTTCACTGATACACCACCTTTCCAAGCATGATATCCTTTCCCAAGGACTGGTCCCTCTTAATAACATGTCTAAAGTACGTGAGACAAAGTTTCACCAATCTGCCTCCAAAGAGTACTCTAGCTGTACTTTTCCCAGGATGTATTTGTTCATTCTTTCGACTATCCATGGGACATTTGATAATTTTCTTCAATACCAAACTAAAAGGCAACAATTCTTAATCTGTGACACTTATCCATTGTCAAACTTTCAGATTCACAAGTAATTGAAGAGACCATTACTCAGACCTTAGTCTTTAAGCCCCAAGGCTAAAGGCTGAGAACATAAAGGCTAAAATGTGAGAACATTTTGGAAGCTGTCCTGATTGTAATCTGCTAGCTTCCCTGATGGTAATCTGCTAGTACAGAAGAGGAAGACCCCAGATAAGATAGATTGATAGCAGTGACTGCGGATGTGGGGGTTGGTGTCCTGGAATTAGTGAGACTGGCTCAGGACAGGGCAGGGTTCAGTGTTGCGATGGGTCACGGGCAACTTGATGGCAAATAGCAACAATGTGGTTCTGTGTGATCTGTGATCTGCGAGCTATTACATTGGATAGGTTTGGAGCCAATAAAGCAGTAAGATTGGGGTTGGAATGAGTAGAATAAGGTGTGGAAGCATGGGAGACACGTCTGACCTCATGGGAATTGGCTTTATGTTGCCGATGTTATTGATGGGGACAATTCCCCTTTGTAGAATTGAAGGAGGTTAGATATGGCCATCCACACATGGCCCTGGCTCTTTCACAAGTTGTATCATGCTTTATGATATCAATGGTGGTGGTGTTGTGTACCATAGAGTCGGAACTGATCCTTGAACTGTGTGCCTTCGGGATTGTGGCAGAGCTTCTTGCCACTAGAGCTTGCTTTCCATAATTCTTTTAGTTCTTATATGTGGTATAGCTTCCCTAATATATCTGTGAGATCTGGAACCATGTTCTACTAATCTTTGTTTCTCTATTATCACACATTTGAAGCTTATTCTTGAAAGATAAAATAAAATATGGATACTTAAATGTAATTTTTTTTAGACTTGAGGGTAATGTTTCATTTCTTCAGACTTTACTATGAGATATTATCTTTAGAGATTGGACAAATGACATTTACTGCCTCTAAAAACCCACTGGAAGTTAAGCTGAGTCAGTTCTGACTTGATGGTACACAACAACAATGGAACGTAAAATACTGCACCACCTCATATGTTATATTTAAGAGGAACAACAAAGACTGACCTAAAATTAGCCCACACTAATTTAATTAAAATAGCATGTGGTTTAAATTAATTTTAAAAAATATACTGAGATATAACCCTGAAGTTTACTGATACAACTGATTCATACAACTGATTTATCTGCTCTTTTTCAAGTTGGACCAAAGTACTCTAACCAAAGTTAGAGAACTAAACTTACTCATGTTAATTCTTTGTTGTTGTTGTTGTGTGCCGTTGAGTCTCCTATAACCCATCGCAACCCTACGCACGGCAGCTCTGAAGCCTGCCCTGTTCTGAGCCAGTCTCACTGATTCTGACACATCACCCCCCACTGCACTGGTTAAATCTTAGATGTGGGAATTTTTCAATGTTGACAATTGCCCGTGATATGGATATATCCATCTTCAATTTTTCCCTCCAAGGAGGCAGAGAATATATGAAAATAAATAGTTTTTTTCTGTCTCAGGTAAAATATTCTAAGGTTTTATAGTTAATATTGAAATACCTTGATTTTACTTTAAAAAGTCTTAGTAAATTAGAATAAATCTAAATAAGAGTAAGTCTTTCCTAAATCTACACTTGAATTTTCAACTTTAAGTGGAAAAAAGAGGTGAACGAAAGAAAAGATATACAATCTCAGTCGGAGGTAATTCCTCGTGTAAAGAAATTGACAACACCTGGACTTCATTCCTGTGTCTCAGCATTTCCCTTAAAATGAAAAACAAGTTTTAAATTTATTTTTTTTGGAGGAGCAAATTTTTAAAACGAGACTGAATCACTGACAACGACATGCCAACTATAGGATTCCAGCTGTTCGCCTGAGTTTCTTATTTCTGTTCTGGAGCAGGTGTGGTTGGTGGTAAGCCTTACTGCTCAGAACGGCTTCCCTCGCCCTTGTCTGCCTCCACCCCGTGGACTGAGTGGGGATCTGTGACTAGGGCACAACAGCCTATCCACAGGCGACTGGCCAGTCTCGTCAGTTCACAGGGGGATTGGGTAATCTTGTCCTTAAATGGAGTGGGTTCCACAATAAAGTGGGAGAACCTCACGACCAACACAGAAGCAAGAAAATGCAACGCGTCCTTTGAGGCCAGAGATTCCTTTTTTTAAAAAAAGAAAACTTTTATTTTATACAGTAGCTCTGAAGCCTGCCCTGTCTTGAGCCAGTCTCACTGATTCCAACATACCAACCACCATTGCACCAGTTAAATCTTAGATGTGGGAAATTTTAAAATGTTACAATTGACTTATCTTTATTAATTTATTATTTATTAATTAGTTATTAATTAATTTTATTTTTATTTTTCACTTTATAAGGAAACAACTTACAAAGTTCGTATACATTGTTTTTCACACAGAATCTTTCCTCTTTCCTTTACTCATCCCTCCCTCCACCCATCAAATTGCCTCATACACGTTCTACAATAATGGTCTTATACAGTATTTGTCCTTATAGGACTGAGTTAGTTCATTCAGCATAATGCTCTCTAGTCCCTCCCAAGTTAGGTAGTAATTTATATAATCATGGCTCCTGTGTGCTGCATAGTGTTCCATCGTGTGAATGTACCATAATTTCTCCGTCTATTTCATAGTGGTTGGATATATGGGCTGTTTTCATGTTCTAGTGATGGTGAATAATGCTGCTGTGAACACTGATGTACAAGTCTCTTTATGTGCCTCAGTTCTCATTTTCTCAGGGTATATTCCAATCAGCAGAATAGCTGGGTCATATGGAAAAAGGGCCAGAGATTCTTGTATCAGTTGGACTAGAGCCTATGGGAGCAACAACCACAGCAGAGAACCAGTGGACAAGAGATAAAGCTGATATTGGGATTGCTACCCCTTGGAGGAATCAGAACTAAGAGCCTTTGCATAAGTTTATTAAAAGACTGGAAAGGCTGGCGTGGGGTGTGGGAATAGGCTGGGAAATGGGGAACCATAACTGGTAGGACTGAGTGCTTTGTAACACTGGGCTAAATCCATGAAAGTCAAGGCTGACATGCCTACAAGCACATTTTAGAAGCTGTACTGAAGGAGTGACTGTACTTTGTTCCTAACCTGAATTATAGCCTTTAGACTGCCCCACTATGGTTCTTTGTGATCTGTGAGCTATTTCATTGGACTCTGGATCCAATAAAGCAGTAAAATTGGTGGTGGAATGAATTAGATAGGAGTGTGCGAGAGTGAGAGACAAGTCTGACCTCATGAAAATTGGTTTGTATTGCTAATGTTGTTGATGGGAACAATTTCCCTTTGTTAATTTGATAAAGCTCACATATGACCAGCTCTATGTGGCCCTTGCTCTTTGTGCAGCAAGACAACTTAGCTTCAGCAATGCCTATTGAGCTGTAAGTGCTAAGGTCAGCAGTTCAAATCCACTAGCCACTCTAGAGAAGAAACATGGGTAATATCTTCATGAGATTTACAGCTTCTGAAAAAGCACTGGGGGTAAGCTCTAAGCCTGTTTCAACTTAATGGCACATAACAACAAACAATATATCTCATAAGGAGCGCTAGTGGCAAAATATTGCTTGAATCCGCCATAGGGGAGAGATGGGTTTTCTCCTTCCTAAAGATTTATTTACCTTGCAAACTCACTGAAGGATCACTATGAGTCATAAGTGATTTCATGGCAGTCGATGTACTATTATAGTACTGTTTTAAACAAAGCAAAAGTTGAAGCGAATTTAAAACCTTAAAAGTTCCAATAGAGAACCATGCAACAATTTTCAATTCTAAAAGAAATACTTTTTAGTTCCAACAGATTGTCTTTGTATTACATCTATTTTAAAATTATTTATCTGGGTTAAAACATTGCCTTAACATTCCTTGTCTGTGTTTTTGCTTGGGCTTTCCACCTATCAGACATGTCAAGGGGTTTGATTGGAAGCATGTAATGGATCTGGCTGCTGATGGAGATTTCAGAAGTTCATATCCACCAGCAACTCTGTAAAAGAAATATGAGCAGTCCCCTGTCGAAATGTGTGGGCTCAAAACTAAAGGAGGGTCCCAATGGACTGGAACAGATTTGATGGCATTGGAACTTGGGTATCACACAGTTCATACCACACACATATTACTGCTGAGTGGCACCAACTTCCTAAACAACATGCCTCTAGAAACTCTATGAACTTTGATAAATATTGATAGCTATAGAAAAGCTTCAGGCCTTTTGTTCATAGAGTCACTATGAGTAGTGCTCAACTCGATGGCAATCAAGAACAACAACATATAGAAATATATTCCCTTACATATTTCACTCTATAAAGAAATAAATATCTTATATTTCATACTTACACATCAACCAGAATAAGCATGTCTTTTGGAGATGCAGCTCCTTGGATGTACCTGTAACAAATACCATACCAGTATTATTTTCTCTTAAATTATCGAAAACACAAATTGGTTGAGTTGATGTTGACTGATCTCTTAATTAAAATCCCTTCGAAACAAAGATCTATCTCAATTGAGGAGGATCCTCTGTTCTCAGTTTGATAAGTTAACTTTGGACAAAAATATTAAAAACGCATAATATTAGAGCTATTAGAGATATAATTCTAATGTGTTGTTCATAATGTTTTAAGAAAAAAACGAGAGATGTATTTTAATATTCACAACAAATCTTGTAGAAGGATATTTTTCTGAAGAAAAATATACCTACTCCACTTTGTTGACTCTAGGCTAAATTATCTTCGTCAATAACAGATAATTTCATTAATATTAAAAGCAAAGATTAAACAGAAAAATAGTTACTTGCTGATAACATGAAAAAAAAGGCAAACCCAACAACACCACATCTTCAACACATTTTCTTAATAACATGGAGAATCAGTATTCATATAAATCACAACTAGGACACTTATTTCAGCATTTTAAGTCTTTTTAAAAAATTTATTATTTTATTATGATTTGAGTTTTCAAAGCAAAATTTTACAACATTTTATAACATTAATTACAATACCCACTATGTAATCCACAATATTCTCACTTCTTCCCTGCAATTCTAATTTCCATTAATCCTTTTGGCCTGCACCTTTCTGCCTGCTGAGAACTGCTCCTAAACAAATGCTAGACTTTTGATCTTCGGTGGTTGGTTGATCTAAGAAGTGAGTTCTCTGGTCTAATTGTTTACATAATACATCTGTCTATTTATTGTTGGACTGCAAAGTGAGCCACAAGGGAGAATCCTGTTCCAGATTCCAAGACTAATTAAGGGCCACAGTCTCAGAGGTTCTGCCAGTCTTGACTGGGCCAGTAAGCCTGGCCATTGTTAGGTTTTTGAGTTTTGTTCTAATCTATCTATTCCCACTCTGTCTAGGACTATCAATTTTTATCCCTGTTACTGTGGCCACAAGTGGTAGGATCTTAGGGTTATGGAAGTTGGGTCCATTAGTCCTTTGGACTTCCTTTCTTTTATACATCTTTACTCAGCTCCTTCATTTTTGGTTCTGGATAGAGACTAGTGGTTGCTTCTTACATAACTACTCCCAAGTTGAAGCTTCTTTATTTTATTTTTTATTCTGTGTCTTTTTAATTGTTACTGGAATGGAAATTTCCAAGACATATAGGTTTTACCTTCGCTTATTCATGACACACTTTGTTTGTTTTACACATGTCCTTTGAATCAGCTGGTATTTGTAGAACTATATAATATTTGGAGAAGTATAGCAAAAAGTTAGAAATAACTTGAATGTCCAGAATGTGGCATTACTTAAACAATGTCACCATACATATATACTTTGAAAATGTTACTCATTAAGTGTTGCTTTTTTTATTAAAGGGAGCTCTGGTGACCTGGCTTGCAGGGGGCTGTGCTCCTGATGAAAAAGCAGTACCTCTCCAGACGTTTAAATCCATCACTGGCTCAGAAGAAAAGATGGGCAATGCCCTCCCTTGTATCCTGAAATCTGCTAGAATTCTAACAGTTCCAATTTGATGACAGTGAGTTGAAGTTCTTATTAAAACCCACTCAAAGATCTGACTTGAGATGCAAAGCAGTATACTACATACATGAATCATTAATTTGTTTAAATGGCAGGCATTATTAATGTATTTTTTTAAATTACTCATATCTTACATATGGCAATCTCTCAATAAAGTGTTAAATAGTTGTTTTGCAGTGAATGTAATTAAGAGCTATCAATATCATTTCATGCTGTGAGAATGATTTCATTAGTAGTGAGGAACAAATAAAATTTCATTTTGGGAAAATAAATCCTAATCTATATGCATGTAACTAGAGGCAGCTCTTACCTTGGGGCCAGTTCTCATTAGTTCACTGCCAGAGGCAAACTACCTCCAACTCTCTCTAGTTGCTCTGTCAGACTCTACACCCAGTAAACTGGGAGCCTTTCAATAGAAATCCCCAGCAGCTAAAAGAGACTTAGAGCTGACATTGACTATAACTCCAGAGATCATACATTTAAAATGAATTTGATAAATCATTTAAAAAAATATTCATTAGCAAACGCCATTGCAATGCATCTTTTTCTCCACATTTAACTATTTCTTTACATAAACATGAGAGGACTTTAAATAATAATTTAATATTCTATATTTAAATAATAATTTAATAATTTTAAATAGTAATTCACTGCAATTTTTTAAATGAATTTTCTTCTGTCTATATAAGAATCACTTCAAGTTTCTTACCATGGTCTTCTGCGTACATCATAAAGGTCAATCTTATTTGGAGTTCTACTATTATCAACCCATGGAGATGCTAAAAGAAGAAAAAAAAAAGAGGGTGGGGACAGAGAGCGAGCCTGATTAAGTAAATTATTATAGGTGCTCTACAAATATATTGGAAAAACTAGTAAAATAATAAAACCAGCATCAAAAACACCTCATTTTAAAGGAGGAAACCCAGTATAAAATTTTCATTTTTTTTTAAAAAGTAAGAAACAATAATTACAGTACAAAAGCCACTCAATGTAACCCAGTGCTCTTTTCCACACTATTTCAGAACAGAATTGCAAATTTAAGGCTTTTTCAGAGTCTTCCTCATATTGTTTTACCAGGTGTTCAAAGTTGAAGCATTTCCTTTCTCTCTCTGCTACATAACTTACAAGTCCTATTTGCATGTTGCATAAGATGTCTGGATGCTAACTGAAAACACCGTGGTGGAATTTGCAAGTCGATCTTCAGGTGAAAGATGAGGAGTCTCTTCCCTTAGAGATGTATAGGCTTGGAAACCCAATGGAGAATCTCTACAAATCTAAACTGACTTGACAGCAGTGAGTAGGTATGTAATACTTAAACAGAAGTCTCACTTTTCACTAATAGAAATTGTGCTTTCAAAGATTTGATGCCTGTAGTGCCATTAAATGCTACTCCGTCTTGGTTTGTAAGAAGATTGACAATTTGCTTGCACTGCTGGTAAGTTACCAGGACAGGCGGGGACACAGTGCGACAAGAAAAACAGTGAATCTTGAAAGTACGACCAGCATTCCAAGTAGGGATAAGAAAACTGGCTCTTGCGGAATGAAAGAAAGCTGTATCTTACTATAAGCCAGCCCTATATCCTTGAGCCTTTCAATAAACTAGAAACTGTTATTTAGAATCCCCTGTGACCAAAGCCAGCTAAATCAGAACTTTGAACATGCGCCACACTTCGTCTACCGACTTCTGTACAACCTTCCACCAGGTGGCACTGTTTAAACCAGCCCAAGAAGAGTGATGCCTGGTGTCCTAGAAATGTTGCAACTGATTTCTTCTTTTTAAATTTTTTTAAATTTTATACTGATTTACTTACAAAGTTCATAAAGTCTGTACACATTATTTTTCACACCATATTTCCCCCCTTTTCCTTTTTTCACCCATCAAATTGTGTGACCTTATGATTAAGCTCCCCCCTCTCCTCCTTGGATCCTTGTACTAGTTCTACAATAATGGTCTTATTTATCTTTATGAGACTGAGTTAATTCACTTAGCATAAGGCACTCCAATCCCTCCCATGTTAGGTAGTAATTTAAAAAAAATCATTGCTCCTGCATGCTGCATGGTATTCCATTGTATGAAGGAACCTGAATTTCTCAACCCATTTGATTGTGGTTGGGCATTTAGGCTGTTTCTGTGTTCTTGTGATGGTGAAAAATGCCGCTATGAACACTGGTGTACAAGTCTGTTTGTGCCTCATTTCTCAAGATTCTCACCACTACACCAACTGGCAGCATCAGGATGGATGGTGAAAAGATTGAGATTGTTCACAGCTTTAGTTTGCTTGGCTCCACAGGCAACACTCTTGGCACCAGTAGCCAAGAAATTAAAAGATGTATGGCGATGGGAAGTCTGCTGTTAGGGACCTCTCCAAAGTACTGAAGAGCAATGGTGTCTCTCTGGAGACTAAGGTTCATCTGATACAGGCCATGGTCTTTGCTATTACTTGTTATGTATCAGAGTTGGACAATGACTAGGGAGGATAGAAGGATAATTGATGCCTTTGAGTTGTGGTGCTGGAGAAGAGTACTGAGGGTACCATGGACTGCTAGCAAAACAAATCGATTCATCCTGGAAAGGGTTATACCGGGTGGCTCCCTGGAGGCAAGGATTCTGAGGCTCCATCTAACATACTTTGGACATGTTGTAAGAAGGGACCGGTCCTTGGAGAGGGACATCATGCTTGGCAGGGTGGAGAGGACAGCGCAGGAGGGGAAGGCCCTCTATGAGGTGGATTGATTCATTGACTGGGGTAATTGGGATGGGTGTATCGCAGACAGTGCGATTGGCACAGGACAGAGCAGAGTTTAGGGCTGTTGTACATAGGGTCGCTATGAGTTGCAAGGGACTCGACAGCACATAACAACGACAATAACAACAACAACAACATATTCCAAGTAGTGGAATAGCAAGGTCATATGGAATTTATATGTTCAGCTTTTGAGGAAAGCCAAATTGACTTTCAAAGTGGTTGTACCATTTTAGAATCCCACCAACAATGTATAGGAGTTCCTATCTTGATAACAAGGAGAAACGACCATCAGGTTGGAGAGTGGTCCTGAAATAGTATATTTTTACGCCTCTTGTTATATGCTGTAGAGTCAGAGCTGACTCATAACTGACCCACTAGAATGACTTCAGAAGAAGCTCTGGTAGCCTCGATGAAAAGAGCTGCTCTGCCAACCCAAAGGCACACGGTTTGAATCCACCAGCTGTTCCACGAGTGCAGGATGGGAAATCTCCTCCTACAAGATTTACTACCTCTGAGTCAGCTCAATGCTAAATAACAACAATGCAATGGCATGGGAGGAAACTGCTCAATTTTCTTCCATGGGGCAGCTGGTGGATTCGAACTACATACTTTGGGGTTGGCAATGTAACTCTTTACCATAGCACTATTCCTGCAGAGATTCCTTCTTAAGATTGTTGTGTATAATGTCAAGTTGGAACCAACTTATAGCTGACCCTCCAGCAGGTTTTCAGAGGCAGTCAATTGCATGGTAGAAGATTGCTCATCCTTCTCCCGTGATACAGCTGATGGCTGCGAACTGCATGCCTTCAGGATTGCAGTGCAGCTCCTTCCTGCTAGAAATCCCTAGTATTCATATATTTGGAAATAGCAATTGTACTGAAAAATTATAATCAAAAGATTCAATTATAATGCTGCTATGAACACTGGTTAACTAACTCAGTCCCATAAGGATAAATACTGTCTAAAACTATTATTGTAGAATGAGTAGAAGGATCTAAGAGGGGTGGGAGAGGTTGGGAGAAGAGCTATGAGGTTTGCAGAGGGAGGAAGGGATTAATCATGGGGTTATACAATTTGCTCGGTGGATGGGGTGAGGGAAATTGAAAGAATTTATTCGTGAAAACAATGTATTAGAATTTTGTAAATAAGCTAGTAGAAAAATATAAAAATACTAAGCAATAAAAAAAATCTACAAATGAATTGTATATGCCACATTTCAGAAAAATCATAGATAAATTACTAATGCTTCCAAGGACAAAAAAAATATGTTAAACATTTTGCTAGAAGATAATGAATTTAAAAATCCAACGGATGGGGGATGCATTTTCAACTCTTAATTCCTATATCTAGTTAAACTGTCAATTTCAAAAATATCTGAAAGCAAAATAAAGATATCTTAATACAGTCAAGAAATAAAAAAAGATTCCATTATAATGAAAATAACTCCATATTTTTTCACTTAAAGTTTATTTGAAAGATTTGCATTAATTAAAAAAAAAACAGTTTTAAAATGTTACAGCAAATTCACAGCCTAATTTGTATGGCTCCCTGATGGCACAGTGAATACTGTGTGTCCACTTACATGTCAAAAGATTGGTGGCCAGTTGCTGCTTGGAGACAGAGGGGCAGGGGCAATATCCTCCCATAAAGTCATAACACTTTCAGAAACTGAGGTGGGGTAACCATGAAACCCATTCAACTCAACATTAAGTTTATTCTGCATTTTTAAAAAGGATTTCCAGCAATGGAAAAAAACCCAAGTTGTGTAATTTATAAACTTTTAAACGCAACTAAGACATAATGCTGGGAAAGTTAGAGGGTGAGTGAACAACATTATGTGACATAATAGATACAGTGGCTGTAACAATGGCTCTCAGAATGGCAGAGAACTTGACCATAGTGCAGGGCAGGGCAAGTTTCTCTTCTGTAGTTCTTAGGGTCACTAAGAGTTGTAGTTGACTCAATGGCACCTAGTGGCAACAATTTACCTTTTACAACACAAACATAACCAGATGGGGGAAAAAGTTGATAAATTAAATGCTAGTTTTATGCTGATGAAGTTCTAATCCTTGAATATGTTTAGACTTAGAACTCTAGAGAAGATTCTTATTAATGATTGTTGACATATCTAAGCGTAGGGCAGTCTGGTGGCCTAGTGGGTAAGGAGTTGTTTATCTAGAGATGGTGACTCTCTCATGGTTGAACCACTGGAGAAAGATGAGCAATCTCCTCCCATGCAATTTATAACCTCTGAAAATCACTGGAAGATCACTGATTCAGTTCTGATGACAAGACAATGAGATTATTTTTTAAAGTTTTGAGCCCCCTTGGCTGAATTTTTCCTTATTAGTGGTTACATTAATAACTGATTTATTAATTTTAAATTAGTAATCATATTTGGGAACTCTGGTAGCTTAGTGATAGGAGCTGTGCTGCCAACCAAAAGCAGAAGGTTCAAATCCATCAGTTTTCTCATTGGGAGAAAGAAAGGGAATCTACTCCCCTCAGAAGCCTGACCCTCCTTTGGGTTTCTGAGGCTTTATGGGGTTTATTGCTTCTGAAGACCCACTGGTGGCAGGTTGAAATGGAAGGTCTGGTCACCTATAAGTCAGTTCCAATCCATATATTCAGCTCACAACTGAAAAAGTGAACTTGCTTTAATACTTTCAATTTGTAGTTGTAGAAAATGAGAGCTACTGAGACAAAACACCAATTCCCTCTTGCCTGGAAATTCGACAAGCAGCATGCTGACATATGTACCAGTTCCCTTTCACCTGCTCTTCACCAACACCCAACTTCTTGAATCTCAGTGGTAAAGTTTTAAATAAACAAAGTTCTACTTTGTTTATAATGTTGTGCTGGAGATAGATATACTGCCTCTCCTAAATTTACTTTGTACTCTACTCTGTAGAAATGGATCCAGCCTCTTTAATTTTCCCACAGTATCCAACTGGCAGCATCAGGATGGATGGTGAAGAGATTGAGATTGTCCACAGCTTTAGTCTGCTTGGCTCCACAATCAACACTCCTGG